ACTCGCTATTAGGCCATGCACGTGTGATAAGTTAATGGGTACAGTGTGCTGTTTTTCGGTTTCTCCTTATACACCAAGTGCCTGATTGATGATAACTTCAGTACATAAAGGATGACAGAGATAACGGCTCTTGTATGTTCATTGTGTCAGAATATTTAGACAAAAAAATGAGAAAAGTAAGTTGCCTCCCTCTTCCACAATTTTAAAAGGCATGTTTGGCAAGTGACCGTGTGGCTTCACGCTTTTGTTTGCTGGTTTATTGTTATCTCAGCCTGTTAGTGTTTTTCCGGGTGTTTTTCTACCTTCAAGGTAAACTACTGTTTTCAGGTTTCCTTCAATTTAAAGCTAATTTTGTACGTTGCCAAAACGACTCAAAATATCGTGACTGAGCTCCTTTAAAAGGGGCATTTTGCTAGACTGTGATGTAGATCTACCATGTTTGAAAATACTGTAACTACAGTTTCACGCATGTTCTGTACCACTTACACGTTTTCCACTCACGAATTGCGAGGTTAATTTTAAAATCGACTTTTTAAAAATGTTTTCCTTCTCGTCTTTTTTGTAAGATCACTTTGTGTGTATGTACTTAAACAATTATTCAAACCGGCAGAATATTTACCTCGATTTCAAAGAATAATTGTTTTACAAATATTTGGACTGTTGCATAACCTCAACCTCAGTACAACTGTATGAACAATTAACTGACAGTTGAACCTCGCTATTTCGAACTCTCAGGGGAAATGAAATATAGTTCCAAATGGGAGTTCGAAATAACTGATAGTGAATGACTGAAGGGCAAGGGAAATGGTTTTGAGTTCAAGCTAACAGGGAATTCACAAGTACGAACGAGCACGATACGATCGAAGTCCGGTACGATCGGTTTTTTTCCGGGAAGTTCCGAATTTTTTACCCGCGCATAAACAACATTTGAAATGGCCGCACCGCTCACGTAATGTCATGACAGCAGAATGCACAATCTAGCCGCGGTACTTTTCTATTTCTTGAGAAACGTTAAAATGAAAAACTCAATAGTTTTAGTAGTTTTCAAACTGAATGTTGCTGTCGGCGATCAAGCGAAAATTTTCCGCTTTTAAGTGTTTCTCTTTGTTGTTGAGTCTTGCGCGAGCTGAGTCAGCTGAGCCGTTGGCCTCAAAGTTTTAAGACTTAGATACTTCTCGAGATCTGCCTTTGGCATTTTCTTATTTTGAGGGATGGGCACAGGTGCAAGCTCGAATCCTGCACGATTAACCTTAAATACCGGTCTTGCTACGTCCAGATGGAAATCGAGGGCGCATTCGACGCAGTCTGAGTCCAATATCTCCAGTGCGAACTTGCAGCAAGAAAACGAAACAACTTCTCAAGCGAGCGTTGACATATTAAGCCCAAATGATGTCAAGGTTGAAGGCAGGTAGGAAAATCCCTCGTGGTGAATACAATGTAGACATCGTCAGCTAATTTGCTTTGGAGACTTGAAATAAACAATGAGTTACAAAATGAGTGAACTTAAAACAGCTGGATTATCAAAGTGATGAAAGTTATTTAGTTTGTTTAGTCTAGGATCGCAGGGCAGGCCTACGCCGTGCGCCCGGTAGTGATGTGATAAATCTAGTTTAATAATAAGCCTTTCATGGCACCAGGTTACAATTCAGGAGACGTGTCCTCTTACATGTAATTAACTTAAGCATTTTGCCCTGCAAACATGACCACAGCGGGTGTAAGTGTCCACTTCTACCAAGTGACCACTTACTTTGGAGGTGTATGTACAAACGTTTTCCATTTCCCCATACGAGGGGAAGGTGAACATTAAATTGAATAGTAAAAGATTCTTGCCCAGATGCTGACATCCTTTGTTTGAAAATCCAAGATTGAGACGTATAAGACTGTAGACTAAGAGACAGAGAGAACCAAACAAAACAATTAGACGTTGTGACTCATCACAAATGATTCTAAGATTTCAAGATTGAATCAAAAGATTTTGAAACCCACAATTTTTTTAAGTGTCCCTGATTGTCATCCCTATATATGTGACAGGTCTGAATTTGAGCATTCAAATTGCATAACTATGTTAACTTTATAATTCCTGCAGAGATCTGTATGGTGTTATGTAACTTGCATAAAAATTTGAAATAGAGTGTCACTTAAAAGCATCCCAACTATGTATAGACAGGTCGCTCAGGGCTAACTATCCTATTGCTGCCAGTGTAACAGGGATAGTGGACCTTAGTGATGGAATGTTGTCAGACTGGGTTGGGTGGGGGGGGNTCTCTTTAATGGGCTATATAGGTATCTGCAGCGTGAAAGAGTATGGTTTTGGGCCATTTTGTTCACTCTGGTCTTTAATATTGGGTATGTTTGGCATTAGATAAGGGCTGCTAATAAGGGCTGTAGCATGTGTTAAGGCTGAGCATGCTTGGTGGGCCCTTGTAATATTATGGTGAACTTGGCTGTTGTTGATACAATTCACCCATAAAGTAACACATTTGTTCCAGGAGTGAATCTTGATCAAAGCTATAGCTGAGCCAAAACTTAATGACAACCCTGGAAAAGGGTATGTTTTTAGAAGGATCAGTTCTGAAACAGGGCATCAAACTTTGGGTTGGGTCTGAAATAGGGAAGGGTAAATTGTACATTTTGGTCAGTATCGGAGTACAAGTTTCAAGAAGTTTACTGTACATGTCACCCCCACCCAAGAATCCCCCCAGGGGGGAGGAGGAGTATTATCCCATCCAGGAAGAGAAACATGTCGTCAGGACACTACATACATGCCTGTGAAGAATGTAAAACAGAATAATTTTAGGATCAGTACCTTTTTGTTAAAAATTTCAATGATAACAGTTTCATTCTTGAACACAACAGGTCGATCCCAGTAAAAGGCAACAAGAAAGTCACTAGTGGTGCAGCCAGCTCTGCACAAGTTGGTACGAAACAACAGAAGGCAAAAGAGAAATCCAGTGAAACAAAAAGTGCTGTAGCAACATCTGCAAAGCCCCTTCAATTTGGAAATAAAAGCAAATCAACAGCAAAGAAAAATGCCAAAACTGTAGAGGCAAAAAAACCCTCAACAACTACTGCTTTGAAATCAAAAGGACGGAAGAAGACTGTTCAAGGTTCAGTAGGGTGAGTTAAATAACTATTTTTTTTTTGTTTTTTGTGCAAGAATGCCTCAACAGCAAACATTGGAGTGGTCATTAACTCTTGGTTTTCATGAGTAACACTGAAAATAAACTAGGAGTCCAGATGCCAACCAAAAAAAATTGAAATCCAGGAGAGCATCGATTTTACCTTTTTGAACAGTATGCTAAAAAACATAAAAATGTTGTTCAACCACAAAAAAACACCCAAACATTCCCACCCAAAGTGCCAAAAAGTGGCCTAAAATTTTCATGCATGAAAAATGTATTTTCTGCCCTCTCCTTTGTATTATCTGGGAGATTTGGTGCTGAAAACAGAGAAATATGGTCTATCTTTTTAGAATATTGGTTGGGCAATCAAGGCCTAGCAGTATTTCAAACATTCATTTGTTAATAGCTTGATGACTGAGTGTACATGTAAGCTAGGACCAGAAAATGTTACTTACAGTATGTCTTGAAAGCAGTTCTACTTTTGTTTTATCTTGTTTAGATCTGATTTTTTTGAGAGGGTTGAGCGAGTATTGCAAGGATTAATAGAAGAAAACTGTCCAGTGAATTCAAGAACCATCCGCATCTTCATGAGCTCCACCTTCACTGGTAATGTTCGATCCTGGGGGGAACCCCCAATAATGTCCTATATGGGGAGGCTCCGCCCAAAAAGGGTAAAGGATTTCACAAATTGAGGNGTAAAAGGCAACAAGAAAGTCACTAGTGGTGCAGCCAGCTCTGCACAAGTTGGTACCAAACAACAGAAGGCAAAAGAGAAATCCAGTGCAACAAAAAGTGCTGTAGCAACATCTGTAAAGCCTCTTCAATTTGGAAATAAAAGCAAATCAACAGCAAAGAAAAATGCCAAAACTGTAGAGGCAAAAAAACCCTCAACAACTACTGCTTTGAAATCAAAAGGACGGAAGAAGATTGTTCAAGGATCAGTAGGGTGAGTTGAATAACTAATTTTTTTTGTTTTTTGTGCAAGAATGCCTCAACAGCATACATTGGAGTGGTCATTAACTCTTGGTTTTCATGAGTAACACTGAAAATAAACTAGGATTCCAGATGCCAACCAAAAAAAATTGAAATCCAGGAGAGCATCAATTTTACCTTTTTGAACGGTATGCTAAAAAACATAAAAATGTTGTTCAACCACAAAAAAAACCCCAAACATTCTCACCCAAAGTGCAAAAAAGTGGCCTAAAATTTTCATGCATGAAAAATGTATTTTCTGCCCTCTCCTTTGTATTATCCGGGAGATGTTGTGCTGAAAACAGAGAAATATGGTTAATCTTTTTAGAATATTGGTTGGGCAATCAAGGCCTAGCAGTATTTCAAACATTCATTTGTTAATAGCTTGATGACTGAGTGTACATGTAAGCTAGGACCAGAAAATGTTACTTACAGTATGTCTTGAAAGCAGTTCTACTTTTGTTTTATCTTGTTTAGATCTGATTTTTTTGAGAGGGTTGAGCGAGTATTGCAAGGATTAATAGAAGAAAACTGTCCAGTGAATTCAAGAACCATCCGCATCTTCATGAGCTCCACCTTCACTGGTAATGTTCGATCCTGGGGGGAACCCCCAATAATGTCCTATATGGGGAGGCTCCGCCCAAAAAGGGTAAAGGATTTCACAAATTGAGGAATATGAAAGGATCTGGAGATACCTAAAAAGGGGCCTTTAATTAACATACTTTGAGCTGATGCRSCWTATGGCWGTATAACTGGATCATTTAATTTATTASGCACTACATGAAAATTACAGAAAGACTTGCTTTTGTGGGGATTTATTAATAATACGGCCAGTTACAGCAGTTTGTGAAAGGGATACCTTTTTTTGAATAAAAGGTACAGTGTATCCAAAAGGGGTAACATTTCTGTCAAAATAGCATATTGCAAAAGGGTAAGGGGTTAGACCTCAGGGGCAGAGCCTCCCTAGTATAAAACTTTGTAGAGTACTTGCTGTCATTTTAGACTTCTTGCACTTTATAATTCTATATAACAACTCAGTCAGTGATACCTGTCTTATGTAAACACCCACAGGAAGGTGTGTATTCAATACTGCAAGGTGTGCTCTCTTTCACTCTATTACGATGTTCGGTTCAATGGGGTAGCTGCCATTTTTTGTTTCTTTTGCCAGCTATCAGATTGATTAGCTGATTTTTTGTGTGCAGACTTTCTATATTTCCTAATAATTTGTATTTAAATTTCCGTCAGCATTGTACATGTGTAAAGCCCAGTTCTGGTGATATGATTTGTGCAGGAGTTTGTGGTGCATTTCATTTTCTACCATAGTGTGATGACCTTTTTTTGGTGGGGAACTCTCCTATAAAAAGGATGGGGGTGCTCATTGTACCTTTCAGGGGTTAAAAAAGCAGGGTGTTCTCTTAGGGTGTTCAGCCCTAAAAGGTCCACAATGGGAGCTTTTGAAATACCTTTTAGGGTACTGAGTCGAGAGGAATAGGATGTAGGAGATATTTCAAACTTAACTTTATGAGTAAAAGGTATTTAAAGCAATTGTCTTTATCGCTATTAAAAGTAATGATGTTTTTTTAGGGATGAAAAGAATTTCAAGCCACGCCCACAAAACAGGATCTTGGTACCTCTAAGGGTTCTTTTCAAATTTCTGATGAGCACCCCGGTCCTTTGTATCCCCTGGGTTGTTTTCATTCCATTGTCAGCCTTTATATTATTACCAGGCACTTACAGGCAATTAAGAAACGTTATTAGTGCAAAGGACATTCCATTAACTTTCACACCTATTTTTTCAGACACAGAGCATGAACGCAATGCTCTTATGGAAAATGTTTATCCCAAACTTAGAGAATTCTGCCAGAAGAAAGGCTATGAATTCCAGGTAATGTCCCCTGTTTTGTTTAAAGTTATAAAATTTAAAGTTCCCTGAACTGGAATTGATCTTAATTTGCACGATTTTGAGAGTATAATGAAATAGAGGATGTTACATGGTAGTGCAAAGATGTGAAAACCCTGCAGTAGAAAATAAAACACAGTTAATACATTCAGGGCAAGTCAGTGGCCCTATTCTCCCGGAGGAGAGCTATAATAATAACAAGGTGGTGGCAAGGCAAAGTCCTACAACAATATCGAGAAGGTCAGTTCGCATCTATGTGATATTCACCCAACCGAAAGTGGCTGTTGTAATGCAGTGTTTCCCCTTAATAACTGATTCTGGGTTTTTTCAGGTTGTGGACATGCGATGGGGTGTGAGAGATGATGCCACAAACACACACATGACAACTGAGCTATGTCTGCGAGAAATCAAGGCCTGTCAAGAGATATCTGTTGGACCAAACTTTGTGGTGAGTGCACCCTTAATGTTGACTAAATTCACTCTGGACAACTTAATCATTTGCATGCATGGTGGTTGTTGATGTTTGTGTCTTGTTTGACAGACATTGCTCTCTGAGAAGTATGGTTACCGTCCTCTGTTGCCCTCTATTGACGCTCAGGAGTTTGAGTTGCTTCTTAGTGCTGCCACAGACGTCCAGACTAGGGACCTTTTGAATAAGTATGGTTTAAAGACATTATGATCACAATATTGAATTTTCAAGGGACTGGTATTGTGGCCCAGTGGTTGCGGTACTGGACTTAATAATTCTGTCTATCAGTTTAACTGGCATGCCTGTGAACTAGCTAGTTGTAGCTAAGCACATCATCCACTATAAGCATTCATCATAGGCACCTAATGCATGCTCATGGTGCAATAATAATGAAGGGCCATGAAGCTGTAGCTGTTTGCACATAATGCAGGCCTATGTAGTACATGTTGGCATCGATACTGTGTTATGTCATAACATATGTCAGTGACTACCCCCTTGTTGTTTATCCTCCTACAGACATTAGCTTTTGATCAATGAGCATAGAAGACTCTTAGAAAAACCCAATCCACAGTTTAATTTATGGTAATACTTGCAAATGAAAAGTAATTTGTTTCAAAATTATAATCATAGGTAACCAAAGTCAAAGATTTTTTATTACAAAATTCAATTTTTGCAGCTTCATGTGTTTCATGTTTTTAGTGTTTTATTTTTTTGTGGATTTGTAGGTAGAAATGGAGCTCGTTAAAAAGGTTGTTAAACGTCATTAATAGCAGAAACTGTTGAGGAAGGTAGAGAATTATTAAATGTAACATCTTTAGGAAGTTATTTAATATTTAATAATTTATAATATTTTAACTCGTTAACAATGAGGCAGCTTAGTTTCTAGTCTGTTAGAGAGGACATGACATTTGACTGTGCTGTGTTAGGGTTTACATTAAGGGCCAGGCATTGGGCAAATTGACAGGCTGTGAGAATGATCTTGTCCACCTGGTTTGACCATCTAGAGGAAATTTTTTCTTATAAAGAAGTTCTATTCAAAACGTTTTGCCCACCTATGAAAACCAGTTGCCCTCATGCTGAAAAAAAAAAACCCTGCTGTGTCCAGAGATATAGCAATGAAATACCTATCCAATCTGAGTTTTGGATGGGTTCCATTTGTGTGGACATAGCATCAATCAATTTCTTTATTTTTCTGTATTTAAATATTTTGTTTAATAGGTGTATAATATTATCCTCATGATGAAAACTTTGTCATCGTCTTCCAATAATTTACCGAGATCAATTTTGAAAGCTCATTGAATTTTAATTTTGCCAGCAATATGTACTGCATTCATGTAAGGAGACCTTGTCTGGTTTCAGATATTTATTAAGTTAGGGTAGAGATAGCTACTGACCATATTCCTGTTCATTTAATAGGTGGTACAAGAAAGACGAAAATTGTTTTCCTGTATCATATATTCTTCAGCCTGTAACAACCTGGATACCAAATTATTTTAATGATAATAATCTGTCTCTCAAACAAGAGGCACAAAGAGAATGGCAAAGCCAGTATAACAAGATGAAAGAATTTCTTCAGCAAGCTGCCAAGGAGGTTTTTAAAGACAAGGATCACGACCTTCGGCACAAATATGTTCGATCAGGTGAGATAGTTATGCACTGTTGTTAGTTTCTTTCTGAGTGTAAAATTATATCACAGGGCTTAAAAAAAAATGGAATTTCAACTTGCCTTGGACAAGCAGCTCTCAAATTGTGCTTGCCCTGGGCAAGTCTTAGTTTAATTTCTTTGTATTCAGTTGACAGACAACTTGCCTGGGTGCTTCCCCATTGAACGAGTGAGAATGAAGCATTACTTACCCAACAAGAATATAGATCTACTTGTCCCAGATGACCAACGGCACCTTTTTTGCCTGGGGGTACTCCTATATTAATAGGACGGGGGTGCTCGTCAATACTTTTTGGGGGTTGAAAAAGTGGTTTTGGTAGCTGTTAGGGTGTTCAGCCTCAAAAGGTCCACAGCGGAAGATTTTGTGGTACCTTTTAGGGTGTTGAACCGAAAAAATATGACAGGAAATAATGTGTTGTTTTAGAATTGGACCCCTTACCTCTTTTTTATATGGGAGTCCCCCAGGGGGTTCAAAGCTAACCAGTAAGGTCTGGAAATTTTCATAAATGAATTCTGTTAATATGCACAATGTTCTATATATTTGTACAATATTTGTGACGATAGCTGAAATTTGAATCATGGTTCCCTGGTCTAAGAAAAATTATGAGGAGCCTAAAGATTTGTAACCATGAAATCCTGGGTGCCCAGCACTTACAGTAAGCTTATATGAATGAAGTGAGTTTTTTTCCAGTTGTCTAAATTCAAAAGTTGGTCACCTGTGGCACTTCTAGAGCACAGCCCTTCTAGAGCACAGCCCATCTAGAGGGGTCCTAGAGTGCAGCCCTGTGAATGATGCAGGGCTGTGCTCCAGAAGTGTCTGGGTGCCACAGGTGACTAACTTTTGCCTTTGGGTGACTGGAAAAATGTACTGTTTTCATATAAGCTTAAGTGCTGGGTATCCAGGATTTCATGGTTAGGAACCTATGGGCTCGTTATAATTTGTCTTAGACCAGTCAGCCCTGTGAATGATGGTTTTTTTTTCCTTCCCATTTCATTTCAGTTTGTGAGGTAGAAATTGAGTATGGCCTCTTACAAGCTGAAAACCCAAAGCGATCTTGCGTGTGGTTTCACCGAATCATCAGTGGTCTTGACTCACCAGAACACGCTGAAAATCCCGAGGTTTTAAAGTATCGTGATTATTGTCTCGATGAGTTGTGCCACAGGGATGATGCTCACCCACAAGCACTTTTACACAAGTTAAAAAACAAGAAAATGAAGGAGGTCATGCACATAGAAAATATTTTCACTTATGATACCCCTTGGACACCTAAAGGTAAGGAATAATTGTCTTGAAGACTTATTTCCTGACCAGTAGAAACTGTATTCTCTAAAAATGTCTGAAAACGCATCAAATGTTTTCCGTCCACACTATGGCGGAAGAATTTAGAAACACAGCAATCACCGGCCATTTTGGATTTTTGTTTGAGGAAAACTCGGGCAGAGAAATCACATGATTATCGGGACGCCATCGTTTTCGAAAAGGTCCGTTTTCAAAACGTTTTCTGTCCACACTAAAAGGCAAAGCCGGCGTTTTCAAATTCCTCCGGTTTGAAAAGCGTTTTCGAAAAGTGTGTTATTCAATGAATGAGGGAAATGAAAGTTGAAATATTTTTGAACATTATTTCTAGGTATTGATCCAAGTGTTGGCATGCACAAAAACTATGTGGACCAATTGTGCGAGGACTTTGAAAACAAGTTGAAGGACATGATAACAGATAGCATTGCGGAGCATAAAACGGCCGAAACAGACAATTTTCTGTACGCTGAGGTGGTGCAGCATACATTGTTTTGTAAGAAGAAAATTGAAGTTGTTTACGGAAGAGAACCAACACTCGAGGTACTCAGCTCAAATTAGCTTAAACAAAAAAGGGTGTAGTACTTTAATACCTGGGGGCACTCCCAGATGAAAAGGTCGTAGATGCTCGTCGGAAAAATTGAATTAAGCCCCTAACCAATCTGGGAGTGGCTCGAGCTTTATATGACCTCTGAAAGATACCACTTAAAATGGAAAAGGCTCTATTACCAGCCGCTGTTCAGGAAGGGAGCCCACTCTAGTAGACTGCACTCGAGAGACCATCGGAAATCGAGCCTAAAGATGGAAATAACAGCGTTTTGTTATTGTTATTTCTTCCAGTGCACCCTTAAGTTACTTTGACAGCTAAAAATAGTGGTGTTTTGTCATGAACACCCTAAGTGAAACCAAAATCCTTGATTTATACCCCTAAGCGAGACAAAGGGCTTGCCTTACCTTTTCATATGGGAGTTTCCCCAGGCTTTGATGGGAGCTAGGGCTTGATAGATTTAAGTTGGCCGAACACAGTTTTCAAGAGCCTATGCCTAATTCACCATTACTTTTAAGCTATTTATGCTTTGGCGC